TTATAATAGTGAGATCTATCTATCTATCTATCTATCTATCTATCTATCTATCTATCTATCTATCTATCTATCTATCTTTCTATCTATCTATCTATCTTTCTATCTATCTATCTATCCATCTATCCATCTATCCATCTATCTATCATCTATTTGACAGATATCAAATATTCCATTTGAATTTTCCCATCTCTGCTGCAAAGCAGTTGGTGGTATATAGGCCACCTAAAGGCATCCCTTTGAGAAGAGGAGGAGAGACAGGTTCCATTGACTGTTCTGCAGTAGGCAGAGATGATTCCCCCTGCAGAGAGGGCTGGTTTTTTCCCTCACAGCTCTTTTCCTCCTCCACTCTCTTCTGCTGTGAAACCTTCTTTTTATGCAACAAATTGCTGCATGTCCTAAGGGAGTGGAACAATCTCAAGCTCAAGGTGGAGTTTGGAGACTTTGGTCATACATGGATTACATGACGCATGGTTTCCTTCATTGGCATCCCTCGGGGTGTGTCAATTCATTTGTTGATGGGGCCTTTGGAGGATCTCTGTTAGTGTTGCTCAGAATTCTCAGTTGACAAAAGAGGGAGGATAAACACCTTGGTCCTCTCCCATATACTCAGGTGGCCATAGGGGCTCTCTGACCTCCCTCAGAGAATCAAATTCCACACATCCTTATCTCCTGAATGAGCAGGATTTCTAACAAGAGTATAGATGTCAGAAAAGCAGGAATGGTGGTGCAGGCCTGAAGAGAACATGAACTCCACAAGTGTCTCTCACAAGGGATGAAATCACACAGGAAACCACCTGCAGAGCCAGGATGGAGCTGTGGGACAGGGCTGAGTGTGAGTGACTATGGAAAGACAAAGAGGACAGAGCAGAAGGGGAGGGAGGCCCTCAGCAGACCCTTGAGAAATGGCACACATTTCCTGTCAGCTGCCCAAGAGTCTGTTGGGGATTCAGACCCAGCTGGACCCTGATTGTACTGCCAGTGTCACTTTGGAATCTGGGTCTCCCCATGGGCAGAGAACAAGCCAGGAGAGCAGCAGCACAGTGCTTTGGGAACGTGTGAGCCCATCAGTGTTTGAGTCTTGGCCCACAAATGTTGTGTGGGGAGTTGAAGGCCATGTTCTCTTGCTTTCTGTGCAGGTTGTTCTGGAGAAAGAGCAGGAGCAGATTGATTTGTCAGAGATGCCATGCCAGACTGAGGGAGAGCTGTTGCCAGCCCGAGAGCAGGAAGAGCAGCTTGGGCAGCAGGTGGAAGAGCCACTGGAGAATGGCCAGATAAGCCTGACTCAGCAGGTGACAGAGTGCAGGGCAGGAAGAGGGGCATAAATCACAGCTCTTGGGACTGAGGAGGCCAGGAGTCCCAGAAGCACTGAAAGCACAGAGCCTTGTAATCTGCAGAGATCAGCTCTGGGACAGGAGGGTTACAGTGGAAGCAGAGGTGGTTAAGTAGGCAGAAAGAAGTGACTGAATGAGTGTGATTTTGAGGCTGAAAGAGGGAAAAGCTGAGCCTGATGGCAGCCCCCAGTCACTTGTTCTCCATTTGTGTGTACAGAATATCAAGGCAGAGCCACAGGCAGAGTTGCCTGAAGCTCAGAGTGCCATGGTGGCAGTGAAGAGGAGGCACCAGGAAGATATGAGGAGCACTGAAGAGGAGATGAGGCTCCATGAGCAGAGAGGAGATCAGCAGAATCAGGTGAGTGAAAGAGTAGAAGTCACTCCACTCATCAAGCTGTCTCTCTCATGTGTTTTAGAGGACAGCAAGGAAAATCTCCAGGCAGAGATGCAGGAAACAGAGGCTAGGATCAACGCAAAGGAGAAGAGGCTGGAGGAAGAACTGAAAATTGTCATAGAGAAAATTAATCACCTGATTCAGAAGAAGGATTCTCTACTAAAACAAGTGAGTGAAACAGCGATAGCCACTGCAGTCACTGCAGTCTGGTGGTTTCAGCCCCTCTTGCCTTTCCTCTGCAGAGCAGCAGGGAGCTGGGGTGATGCCTCTCAGTGCCATCCTGCTGTAGTGTCTATCCCAGCTGCTTTGAAGGAAACTTCCTGGTGTGCTGAATCCCAACTACTGCTCTGGACAGTGGCACAAGTCGCTTTCCCCTTTTGCACTCATCTGAGTGCATTCCTGCTGGCCTCTTCCTGCTCTCCTTGTTTCTTCAGGTGTTTTTGCAAGTGAACACAGTCACCCAGATAGATGTTGAACACAAGCCACAAGCTGTCTGTATCCCTTGTGGAATCTGCTCCTCTCCTGCTCGTTCCCTTTCCTCACAGTCAATGAGCCTTGGCAGAAAGGGACAAGCTGTAGTCTCTGACTGCTTTGTTCTGTTTGACTTGAGGTGGAAATGTTGACATCTCACCTGGCAGCCTGGGAAGGCTTCCAGCAAATGACTGGTGATGAGGAGCCCCAAGGTTGGCGTGAGGCACAGCAACTGTCCCAAGCAGAGATGCTGAAGGTTGGGAATGTCTCCAAGATGGTGGAGGAAAAGTGGACTCATTGTGAGGAGGTACAACATTTGGACAAGGATCTGCAAATGTGTCTGCAGTCTTTGGAGGGGGAAAGGGATCCTTGGGAGGAAATGGAATGGTCATTGTTGCAGTCATCCTTCAGAAAATCCATGAAAATGGAATATGAAACTGGCTATGAACTCAATTAAAACCAACTTCTGGTTTTGACCATTTGGTTTTAGAAGTGGGTATCCAAAATAATCCAGTTTATGAGCTTGGCATATGGCTAAGAGCAACTTCTTACGGGCTTGAATTTGAAAAGGGTACTCGGGGTAATCTCTGCCAGTCACTTTTCTGACACCAACTCATTTCTACTCTCAGAGCTACCAAGGAGCCTTGGTTCCCCTCCCTGAGAAGTGGAGCCTGTGCAATTTCTTCATCTCCAGCACTGACACAGATGCTGCTCAGCCACAGGAGGATTTCCTGGAGCTACTGAGTACATCTAGTTTATTTCTTGTCTGAGGGACAGTGAATTGTGTGCATGTGCCAGACTTAGCTGTACCAAATGTTCCTCCTCAGTTTGGTGTCACAGGGACATTTAGGTCTCTCCACAGGAAGTGCTCTGCTTCGAGGCAGGGAGAGAGCACTCTGCATGTTCCTGCTGTCCCTGAGGGCAGCCTGGACTGGTTAAAGTTTACCTGGCTTCCCTTTCTACTGAAGAAAGAAGCAGGAATTGTTGCTGGAGCAGTTGCTTGAGTTCTACCCATTGGCCCAACCCCTGCTCAGATCAGTCTCTAGGAAAACACATCAAGCCCTTTGTGATTCTGCAGCACAACCCATTTAATCTGCTTCTCGCCCATAAGAGCTGCCAGTGTTGTGCCCTCCCATAAAGACCTGTTGGGGCTGAGAAAAGATCACATTTCATTCTGTGTGTACCTTCACCTGTTGAGACAAAAAAGGGCATTGATCCACACCTCGGTGTGTCTGATGCCAAAGCCAATCCCGTTGTGTCCTGAATGGGGGCAACAGCTTGTCAGGAGCTCAGGCTGGCTGTGGCTTGTGGCCATGGCTTGTCAGTGCTCATGCTTGGCCTTTGGCAGCCTTGCTGTGTGCCCTGGCCCTGAGGGCTGCTGTGACTGCAGGGGCTGGAGCCTTCCTTAGCTGGGAGAGTGGCGCTGCCGCCCGGCCGGCCGCTGCAGAGCTGAGCTGGCCCGAGGCAGCAGCCCCTCGTCTGGGCCGGCTTCTGCACGGCACGGCCTGGACTCCCGAGAGGGACAGCATCTCCTCTGGGCAGCTGTGCGTGTCACAGCAGCGCCTGAGCAGCACTGCTGTCCTCGCTGCCCTTGCCCGCTGTGCCCACTTGGGAACGTGGGGGGAACGTGTGCGGTGCTGAGAGGCCGAGTCCAATGGCAGCCACTGATCCGCGCTGTCAGGGTGAAGGGAAGCACTGGGGTTCTTCCCATGGGCCACGGGCAAGGGCGTCTTGGAGCTCAGCCTGCTCATACAGGGTGAGGGTCCTGATGCCGAAAGCCCCCTTGGAATGGGATACAGCATCAGCTGCTCTGCTTTACAGATGGAAAGGCATTCATTCTTTTGGCAAATTGCAGCATGCTGGAGATGATGGGAACATTTGGCAATGCTCTTCCTCTTACCAAATTGGCATCTTTGTAGGAATTGATTCTAGGTGTCAAGATGCATTTAATCTTAAGAAGTATGAAACCTTTTGTTGAATGAAACATTGAAGTGTTTATTCCCAAGAAAATGAAGTGTTTATTCCCAAGAAAAGAAAGGCTCTGTTAGGTCCAGCTCTCTTTAATGTTTATAGATGACAAACATACTTGCTGTGCTACCTGTTCTCTTCTGGTCTCTGTTTCCTCTGAATGTAGTCTCCCTGTGCTTAGTTTCCTGTCAAGAAGTCTTTGCAAAGGATTGTTCAAAATCAGTTTTTGTGCCAGGCACTTGTGCAGTGCAGCTGCCTCTCTTCTTGTTGTTGCTCCTGTTCTTCTTGTTGCTGCCCAGCTGACCACACTACTCTAAAATCCAACTCTACGTTACTACTCTACCATCCTACTCTACAATCCTTCTCTAAATTCCTACTCTACAATTCCATTCTAAGATGGCCATGGAGAAAACTGTTCTAAATTGATTAGAACATTAATTATCCTTCTCTCCTTCCACTGTTTCACTGAAAGGATGAGTGGCACCAGGCTGGAGCCAGGCTTGACCGATGTTACAAATTGATACTGCAGTAAGGAAAAGGAAACAAGAAGAAAGCATGATTTTCCAAGCTAAGAGCTTCAAAGGCAGGGGAATATTTTTTAATTGAAAAGGGCATTGAGTCAGAGGAGGTCTAAGGAGCATGG